ACTGCCACTGTGTTTTCCCCTACCATATCATAATTTATTTAGTTAATCCTCTCTTGATGGTCATTTGTATTATTGTAAAATTCCGATCTTTGTGTGTTTGCCCCAGTTTTACTTTAGTGTAAATTATAGATGTGTACTTGCTGAATTATCTTCCAAAAATGTTGATTCCATTTTTGTTCTCACTAATAATATGGTAAGGATCTCTTTTCTCATGATGTTAATGCTATTATTAATCTTTTAAATCTTAAATATTTACCAAAAGGTAGGGCAAAAAAAAAGAGAAAATTAATCTTCTTGTTTAGGTATGGAGTTTTATGATTATCAGTGAGGTGAAGGATGTTTTCATGTATTCGATGGCCATATGAAGTTCTCCCTGTTGCATCTGAATGTCGTGTCACACATCTGCTCTCAGTATCATTGCCTTGGTGTTGTATCTCTCCTAAATATTTATGGAGAGCTCAGTACAGCATTTAAAGCATAGCAGAGGAATCAGTGAGTAATGAATGAATGAATTAATAAAAAAAAGAACAATCACAGCCAGCCGTGGTGACTCATACCTGTAATCCCAAAACTTTGGGAAACCAAGGGAGGCAGATCATTTGAGGTCAGGAGTTCAAGACCAGCCTGGCCAACATGGTGAAACCCCGTCTCTACTAAAAATACAAAAGTTAGCCTGGTGTGGCTGCGGGTGCCTGTAATCCCAGCTACTTGGGAGGCTGAGGCAGGCGAATTGCTTGAACCCAGGAGACAGAGGTTGCAGTGAGCCGAGACTGCGCCATTGCACCCAAGCCTGGACAGCAGAGTGAGATTCTGTCTCAAAACAAAAACAAAAACAAATAATCCCACAATCACTTATGGTCTCAGGGATGGTACTAGGGGCGGAAAAATTTCCCAGTTGGTTTCATGGTTCAAAACAGAATCCCTTAGTCACAATCGCCAATCACTAAGGAAATGCAAATCAAAACCACAATGAGATACCACTTCACAGTCATTAAGATGGCTACTGTCAAAAGAATAAACAGAAAACAAACAAAACTTTCAGAAAATAGCAAATATTGGTGAGGATGGAAAAGAAACAGGAACATTTGTGTTGCTGGGAATGTAAAATGGTGCAGCTGCTATGGAAAACAATATGCTGAGTTTTTTAAAAAAAATTAAAAATAGAATTATCATATGGTTCAGCAATTCTCCTTCTGTGTTTAAATCCCAAAGAATGAAAAGCGTGGACTTGAACAGATATTTGTACAGCCATGTTCATGGCAGCTTTATTCACAATAGCCAAAAGAGGGAGGTAACCCAAGCGGCCCTTGATGGATGAATAGATAGACAAACTGTGGCCTACACCTATAATGAAATATTATTCAAGACTTAAAAAGGAAAGAAATTCTGACAGATGCTACAACACAGGTGAACTTTGAAGATGTTATGCTAAAGAAAATAGGCCAGTCCACAAAAGACAAATATGGCATGATTCCACGTATATGAGGCACCTAGAATAGTCTTTTTTTTTTTCTGAGTTGGATTTTCGCTCTTGTTGCCTAGGCTAGAGTGCAGTGGCACCATCTCTGCTCGCTGCAGCCTCAACCTTCTGGGTTCAAGTGATTCTCCCATCTCAGCCTCCCTAGTAGCTGGGATTATAGGCGCCTGCCACCATGCCCAGATAATGTTTGTATTTTTAGTAGAGACGGATTTCAACGTGTTGGCCAGGGTGGTCTTGAACTCCTGACCTCAAGTAATCCACCTGCCTTGGCCTCCCAAAGTGCTGGTATTACAGGCATGAGCCATTGTGCCCTGCCTAGTATGGCCAAATTTATCAAGACAGAAAATGGAATGGTGGTTACCAGGGGTTGGAGAGAGGGGGGAATGGGGAGTTGCTGTTTAACAGACACGAGTTTCAGTTTTGCAAGATGAAAAGAGTTCTGGAGATGGGTTGAACAATTATGTGAATACATTAAACATGACTAAACCGTTCTTTAAAAAGTGGCTAAGATGGTAACTTTTTTTTCTTTCTTTATTTTCAGGCTTCTTGCAGTTTGAAAGATGGTAACATTTTTATGTGCATTTGACCAAATTTTTTTAAAAAGTTAATTTCTTCCTGCGCCTGGCCGGGAGAAATGCCCTATTTGCAAGGAGAACCAGAGGCTCTCACATGAGTAAAGGCCTGGTGCCAAGGTCCCCAGAACATCCCCCTACCCAACATGAGAAGGTGGAACTCAGCACCATCGCACTTGAACACATGTTCCCGCTTCAGCTACCCATGCGCCTTAGGGCAATTACGCATTTTGTAATGGGGGATGTGTTTTGGAAGAATTTATCTGCAAAAATAATAGGGCTGGACGTTTGGTGAGATTTCTCGAGAAAAGAAAAAGAACAATAACCCAAGTAAAATGCCAGCTCCTTGGTCTGACGTCATTCTCCAAGAATGACTGCCAAGCGCACTCTGAGAAATGGGCCACACCCATTTGTGTCTCAGCCAATCAGAACATCCAGAGTCCAGGCAAATTCAGCCAACCAGAACTCGGCATTCCTCTGATGCAGCTACTCAAGCTAGTTCTTGATTTCTGTCAAGAACACAACACAACTTTGGGTGCTGGGTTGGAGAAATGATTGTTGGCGGCACTTTCCAAGCATTATCAATTGATTGAAAATGCAAAGCCCACACAATTATTAACATGATAATGAACATTTATTGAGCAGTTACACATCATGCATATTTAAAGTGCCCTCGGAAAGGTGAAGTAGACTGCCTGAGGCCACATAAGTCAGTCTCCTGGGAGTCCTTGCCCCTGACTGCCCTACTGCCTCTGCGAAATACGGTGCCAAGGAATTTGGACTGTGACCTGTAAACAAAAACTCTTTGGGTGGGTGCTCTCATCTCTTTATTTTACACAGCTATTGATAATAAAATAATAAGAGATCCGAAACATGTTTTCCAGTAGGAGAGAATTAGCAAAGGCAGAAAACGTGAATCTTGATCTTTCATTAAAAAAAAAACAAGCCACCACAAAACCACAAACTAGCCCACATAATTATTTAACAAATGTTCATTGAATGAATAAATACATGGGGAAGTAAGAAGCTCCAGAGAGACCCAATGGAGAGCCGCCGAGAGTGGCAGATGACAGCACAGGAGGACCTGGGAGATGTTTGCTGATGCCTGAGTAAAAGAACAAAGGTCTGTTCGGAAGGATGATCGGAGGCAGAAGGATGTGAGCACTGCATGCAGGACAGGGACCGTCGGGTGCCGCACAGCCTTTGCTGTGTCGCAATCAGCAGAGCCTTCAGGGCCAGTTCCGGTGCTCTCTGGGTGGTCCCATGCACAGGCACACAGAATTCTCACTCACACACAGTGCTGTCTGGCAGGAACACACAGACAAACGTCACAAGCTGGTAGAGCCCCACGCATAGCTGGCTGTGCCCATTATCCCAGATACATCCACATGAGAACAGCTGCACCTGCAGGTACACATACAACAACTCACAACGCACACATGCCTGCGAGCACACACACAACACACAATACACACACACTTGGGAGCACAGACACACAACACACACATGCCTGGGTGCGCACACACACATACAATACACACACACGCCTGGGAGCACACACACATAACACACACATACTTGGGAGCACACACACACAATACACAACACACACACTTGGGAGCACACACACATGCCTGTGTGTTGACACATACACCTAAGAGCACACAAAAAACACACATATGCCTGTGAGCACACACACACAACACACACACACCTGGGAGCACACATACACAACACACAACACACACATACCTAGGAGCACACACAACACAACACACACATGCATGGGCGCATACACACAATACACAACACACACATGCCTATGAGCACACACACAACATACAACATACATTCACCTGGGAGCACACACACATACACAATACACACACCTGGGAGCACACACACACACCTGGGAGCATACACACAACACACACATCTGGGAGCACACACACAACACACATGCCTGTGAACACACACAACACACAACGCACACACCTGGGAGCACACACACATACACAATACACACACCTGGGAGCACACACACACACAACACACACATGCCTGTGAGTACACACACCACACATTCCTGTGAGCATACACACACAACACACACACCTGGGAGTACACACATACACACACCTGGGAGCACACACACACACACCTGGGAGCACACACACACACCTGGGAGCACACACACAACATACACACACCTGGGGGCACACACACACAATATACTGCACACACACAACACACATGCCTGTGAACATACACACACAACACACACACCTGGGAGCACAGACACACACACACACAACATACACAACACACGCCTTTCTTTGAGGGTCTTGTGGACATCCTAAATGAGGAATTCTTTCCCTACATGCTTTTTTGTTGTTGCTGGCTTGATCCCTCAATCACCCACTCATGTTTATTGGGCACCTACAGCGTGCAGGCCCCGTGCTAAACCCTGGGACGTGTCCTCAGGGGCCAGGACAGAGAGACTTCCACTCAGGAATTAGGGGAACTCAGGTCAAGGGGGAAAATAGTGTTGGTAAATCCACTGTGTTGCTAGTGGGCCTGTTTGGGAGAGCCTGTCAGAGAAGCTACAGGGAGCTGGCTCTGGTTCAGACATCTTCCAGGAACACAGAAAACAACCACATTTTACTAATTATAGCGAGGGAAAACACGCTGCGATTACAGCTAAATTACATTAAGACATAACCGGCTGGCGCAGTCGGCTCTATCTCTCTGGATCAGGTTTCAGCCAGGCTGGGTGGTGACACAGGCGGGGTAGGCTGAGGAGGCCTTGGCCAGGGGAAGGTCCCAAAGCCTGTTTTCCTGTGGGGTCGTGACCCTGGGGTGACGATGGGGCATCCCAGGGTCAGTCAAAGCTTATGTGACCAGCAGCTACCCCTCCCCACAAGGGGCTTCCCTGGGCCCCTGGGCTGGAACAAACTCTGCCCAGAGGGCCACTGAGTCATCCAGCCCCTCCTCTCCTTCCCTCCCAGAACTGAGGATCAGAGAATTCAGGGCTGGAAGGAAGGTCTTGGGGCCAAAGCCTTAGTCTTTCGAAGGTAACTGAGTGGGTTTTTAAAAAATCCTCTGTCCTATTGTGGACACCAACTGTCTTTTTCTTCCAGGCCCTGGTCTGCACCTGCCAAGAAGGGCTTGGTACCTGTTTGGGGAATCCGGGGTTGAACTCTCTACCCCATTCTCTTTGTAATTATTCCCAGAGGGCCCATTTCTGTTGCCCCACAGAGGAGGGAAGGAAGGAAGAAAGGAAGGAAGGAAGGGAGGGAAGAAGGAAGGAAGGGAGGGAGGGAGGGAGGGAGGGAGGAAGGAAGGAAGGAAGGAAGGAAGGAAGGAAGGAAGGAAGGAAGGAGAAAGGGAGGGGAGGGGAGGAAGGGAGGGAGGGAGGAAAGGAAGGAAAGGTGGAAGGAAGGGAGGGTTGGATGAAAGGAGGGTAGGAGTAGAAGGAAGGAAGGAGGCAAGGGCCACCAAGGGAGAGAGGGAAGGAGGAAGGAAAAGGGGGAGGGAGAGAGGCAGGCAGTAATTAATGTAGGAAAACCAACTTACTGAGCCCTTGCCAAATGCCAGGCATTGCCATACAGTATCTCCTTGACTCTTCACAACGACCTTGAGGACAGGAGCCCAACCTTAGCGTTCCATGGAGTCCAGAGCTGCACACAAGGCAGATCCTCAACAGTGAATTCAGTAATTTCTTGAGGGAGCAAGTGTGTCAGAGGTAGCTAATACCACTGTTTACAGATGGGACAGTGACAACTATGGCATCATGGGGGTGAGGTTCAAATCCACTTTTCTGGCCAGGCGGGGTAGCTCACGCCTGTAATCCCAGCACTTTGGGAGGCTGAGTCGAGTGGATCACGAGGTCAGGAGTTCAAGATCAGCCTGGGTAACATGGTGAAACTGCATGTCTACTAAAAATGCAAAAATTAGCTGGGTATGGTGGCAGGCGCCTGTAATCCCAGCTACTCAGGAGGCCAAGGCATGAGAATCGCTTGAACCTTGGGAGGCAGAGGTTACAGTGAGCTGAGATCACGCTGCTGCACTCCAGCGTGGGTGACAGAGAAAGACTTTGTCTCAAAAATAAATAAACAAACAAATAAATAAAAATCCAGCATTCTTTGGCTCCAAGACTTGCTCGCTCAGCCCTGTACCCAGGCTACTCACCTTTCACCTTGGGGTGCTAAGGAAAGTGGCCATTCTGGTGACCACATGGCCCCCAGTTATGATGGGAGCTTGGTTCCCAGCATCAGTCTTGTCTTGCTTGGGGTGGCATGCCTGGGTGCACTGAGTCCTGGTCCCACCTTTATTCCTCCAGCACTGTGCTTTCCATGCACTATCTCATTTAACCCTCATACCAGGACTGGGGAGGCGGTGTTTTTCAATGCCCTTGTTTTTTAGATGAGGAACCTGGGGCTCAGAGAGGTCAAGTAGCTTGCCCAGGCTCACACAGCTGCCAACTGGGAGTGCTGGGGTTCCTTCCTGTATGCTGCACCTGGCCCCACACTGTCAGGTCTGAGCTTGCAGAATCCCTGAGGTCTGGTCACCTCCTCAGGGCCTGCCTAAAGGCTAAGTGCAAGGGGTGGGGCAGGAGGCCCTCTTCTCTCTGAGGAACCCTGTCAGCTGTTCTCCAGAACTTCTCACTATGAGGACAGGGTTTGGCCGGGTCCCCAGGGCTCAGCTTAGGAAAAACACGCCAGTCTGTGCTCAGTGCCTGTGGAGCTGGGTCCATCCCAGAATCAGGGGCAGCAGGTGGTGTGGCCACGGGCATGAGCAGCAGCTGGGCTGTGGTGTGTTGGCCACTGTGTTCTGGCCTGTTGTGCTGGTGTTTACAGTCCACATTTTTAATAATCTGATGTTATGTTTGGCCCTGGATCCCTTCTGCAGAGCCTAAGTAAGGCTTGCCTCCAAGATGGTCTTCTTGTTCCTTCCAACTCTTGCTCTAAAATGAGCTGGGAAGAGAGACCTAGAGGGAGGGGGGACGGGGAGGTAGAGGGAACTCCACCTGACATTTACAGAGCCCCTACTGTGTGCCAAATGCATTTCTTATGTTATTTTAATTTTTTTTTTTTGAGACAGAGTCTCTCTGTCTCCCAGGCTGGAGAGCAATGGTGCAATCTTGGCTCACTACAACCTCCACCTTCTGGGTTCAAGCAATTCTCCCTCCTCCGCTTCCCAAGTAGTTGCGATTACAGGTGCCCACCATCACACCCGGCTGATTTTTTGTATTTTTAGTAGAGACGGGGTTTCACCATGTTGGCCAAGCTGGTCTCGAACTCCTGATCTCCGGTGATCCACCGGCCTCAGCCTCCCAAAGTGCTGGGATTAAAGGCATGAGCAACACGCCCTGCTGCTTATGTTAGTTTTTATTTATTTGTTTACTTAGAGACAGGGTCTCACTTTGTCAGCCAGGCTGGAGTGCAGTAGTGCTATCATAATGTACTGTGACGTCGATCTCCCAGGCTCACGCAGTCCTCCTGCCTTAGCTACCTGAGTACCTGGAATCACAGGCACATGCCACCACAACTGGCTAATTAAAACAATTTTTTTGTAGTGATAGGGTCTTGCTATGTTGCCTAGGCTGTTCTTGAATTCATAGCCTCAAGCAATCCTTCTGTCTTAGCCTCCCAAAGTTTTGGGAGGTCCCATCATATCTGGGGGCTATGTGGTCACCGGAACGGTCACTTTCCTAGCACCCCGAGCTGCCTCACCCTGACTAAGTGCATTTCTATGTTAGTTTTATTCTATCTCCCACAGCAAGCCAGGATGATGTGCCTTTTTCTACCCATTTTATGGATAAAACTGAGGCCCAAAGGCCTCAGGTGTGGCAAGCCTGGGGCTTGGCCTCAGGCATGTCCAGATCTGGAGTCTGAATGTTTCCCATGATGCATGCTGGAGATGCAGCTGCCACCTTGGCTTTCTTGTGAGGATTCTTCCACTCTCCATCTGACACCTTTCCCAGGGATACCATAAAGCTCTCTTTCCAGGTCTGGACAAGAACAGAGATGAATGGCTATTCTGGAAGCAGAAAAGTCCAGGCCTTGGGATATCTCTTCTCTCCTATCCCATTTCCATCCTTAGCACAGTCTGCCCAACCCCGGCCTTGGTGGCAGTGTAACTCAGCCATGAAGTTAAAGGCGGGGCTTGCAGCCCACTCACCTGCCAACCCTGTCAGCCCACGGCATCAGGGGTGGCGAGGCCAGGCCTGTCTTTTTAGGAAAAGGACCTGAATGAAGCTAACGAAGGAGCACAATCTCAAGGCCCCCAGCTCCTTCCCCTTCTTGTTTCACTTCTCTCTGCTGTAGTGGTGTGAAATCCGATCCCAGCACCAGCACTTGCTAGCTGTGTGATTGGCAAAAGTAATAATACTGACAATTTCAGGGCATTCATTATGTTTCCGAGACATCACTGACTGTCTTCCATCCTTCTCTGGCTGAATCCTCACAACAGCCATTAGAGGTAGGTAAAGTGACTGTTCCCATCTTACAGATGAGGGGGATCTGCCTGTGGTTCACAGCCAGCTAGTGGCAGAGGCCGCACTGCAGACTGCCATGTCTCACAGCCTTTTATGACTGGCTCTGAACCCATTTTTGTATCTGTAAAATGAGACTACTAGTTCCAATCTCACAAAACTGGCCTGGCAATTTTCAACAAAAATGAAGGTAAAGTGCTTAGGACATAGGAGATGCCTGAAAAATATTAGTTGCCTCAATCTGTTAGTCATTTGACAAATGTTTAGTGGGGCAGATGAAGTCTTTCCCCCATGGAGCTCCCAGCCAAATGGGAAGACAGGTGCTAAGCAAATCATGACACGTAATTGACTGGATGATTTTAAACATGCTCTGGGCTGATAGGGAGAAGTACAGGGTCATGTAAGGCCTAGAAGTGGGTAAAGAAGATGGTTGGGGTTAACTGAGATCAGAAAGCCTTGGACCTCATGGCATAAGGGAGAACTTCTATGTAGGGCAGTGGGAGGGGTCCTCAGGGCTGAAGACCCCTGGATGCTTGAAGAGGCAGAGGAATTTTCCCTGTCTGCCCCACAGCTGGTGGGAAACCCCTGGGTGGTCTGATTCCAGCAGCCCAACCTGGAACTGATTGCCCATGGTAATATTCCTGACCCAGGTAAAAATGTGCCAGTTCTGCAGGCTAGTGTCATCTGCTGGGGAGCTGGCAGCTTGCTCAGCAGATGGGGGCACTTGTGCCTGAGGTCTCTGGAGAATGAACCACAGCCTAGCCTGCCTTTTATATCCTGGCTGTGTGGAGCCAGCCCCGCCTTGCCAGTTGTTAACTGCAGCCAGAACTGCCAGTTGAAATCCCATCTCTCCTGCTTCTTTCTTATGAGTGAGCTCTCAGAGCCTCAGTATATCTGATCTGCGAAAAAAGGATCTTAGTACCTACTGTTTGGTTGTTCTGAAGATTTAATAGAAGGTTGAATGTGATGTTGGAATTAGTTATCAGAGACTTTGTTAAAATCTGTAGAAAGCATACTAGCTGTCAGACATGGTGCGAAGCACTTGACACACATTGGCTCATTTAATTCATATCACAAGATCCTGAAGAAGATGCTGGCATTATCCCTGTGTTACAGACAGGGAAACTAAGGCTCAAGAAAAATTCAAAAACTTGGCCAAGGTCACGCGACTAGTGTTAGTGTTTACAAAGAGAGAATAAAACACATCAAAAAACTGCAAATGGGCTGGGTAAGGCGGCTCTTGCCTGTAATCCCAGCACTTTGCGAGGCCAAGGTGGGTGCATTACTTGAAGTTAGGAATTTGAGACCAGTCTGGCCAACACAGTGAAACCCGTGTCTACTAAAAATACAAAAATTAGCTGGGCGCGGTGGCTCACGCCTGTAATCCCAGTACTTTGGGAGGCCGATGCAGGTGGATCACCTGAGGTCAGGAGTTCAAGACCAGGCTGACCAACATGGAGAAACCCCATATCTACTAAAAATACAAAAATTAGCTGGGCATGGTGGTGCATGCCCGTAATCCCAGCTACTCGGGAGGCTGAGGCAGGAGAATTGCTTAAACCAGGGAGGCGGAGTTTACGGTAAGCTGAGATCATGCCATTGCACTCCAGCCTGGGCAACAAGAGCAAAACTCCATCTCAAAATAAATAAATAAATAAAATTAAAAAATTAGCCCAGCACGGTGGCATGTGCTTATAATCCAAGTTACTTGGAAGGCTGAGGCGGAAGTATCGCTTCAACCCGGGAGGCGGAGGTTGCAGTGAGCTGAGATTGCACCACTGCACTCCACCCTGGGTGACAGAGCGAGACTCTGTCTTAAACAAAACAAAAGAAAACAAGACAAAAACAACAACAACAAAAGAAACTGGAAATGGATAAAACCCACAACTACAATTTCTCATCTACCCACTAGGTACCAGGCAATTTGTGTGCGAACCTGGATCTATCTGCTTGAACAGTGATTTTATACTTTAGTTTTAGGGGCCTTTGTGGGGTGGTGATGAGGAATCCCAGGAAACCAGCTTCAGTCTGTGACCCTGGCCTTGCAGTCACAAAGGACTGCAGATGTAGGCCTTCAACAGGCTCTTCAATTGAGATTACACATGCTGTTAGGATTGCCATATTCAGCAGATTAGAAATACGGGCATCAGTTTAAACTTAAATGTCAGATAAACACCAATTTTTTAGTATTAGTATGTCCCAAAGGTTGCATGGGATATATTTCTATGAAAGCATTATTCACTGTTTATCTTAAGTCAAGTTTAACTGGTCATCCTATATTTCATCTGGCCACCCTACATCCTGCCCCAGAACCACCTTGATGGGATTCCTAGTAGACAATTTCACCTTGATGAAATTTGTCATGTTATCAAATTGTCTGGCCTGTAGTGCTCTATAGATTGGTATCTTTATTTATTTATGTTGTTGAGAAAAAGTCTCACTCTGTCACCTGGGCTGGAGTGCAACGGCATGCTCTTGGCTCATTGTAACTTCTGCCTCCCAGGTTTAAGCAATTCTTTTGCCTCAGCCTCCTGAGAAGCTGGGATTACAGGCACCTGCCACCGTGCCCGGCTAATATTTGCATTTTTAGTAGAGACAGGGTTTCACCATGTTGGTCAGGCTGGTCTCAAACTCTTGACTTCAGGTGATCCATCTGACTTGGCCTCCCAAAGTGCTGGGATTATAAGCGTGAGCCACTATGCCCAGCCTGGACTGGTATCTTTAAACAGTCCTGAAATTACCTTGGGAATATCTTACATTTTATGGAGGTTGAAAACCTTTAATTTGTTCAGAGCTAATATTTAAAACAGGCTACCATGTTTTGTAATTTTACTTCAACATTTTTGGTTGTCATAGTCCAAAATAAAATATATGCATTTTAAAAAATGAAGATTTATTGGAACACAGCTGTACTCATTCATTTACATATTGTCTCTGGCTACTTTCGTATGACAATGACAGAGTTGAGTAGCCTTGCCTACAAGCCCAAAATATTTACTCTCTTGCCCTTTACAGGAAGTTTGCCAACTTCTCTGATGTGTTTTCATCCATTGCTGTTGTTCTTCATGTTGATCAGAGCTTGCATTTGTAATTGCTATCTAATTTACAGGTAGTGCTTGCATGTGGAAGTGGTGGAATGGGGTCTGGAGTTTGGGCCACACTGAGATGCTGTTTCTCTGAGTCTCATACCTGATGCACAGTGGGTGTCTGTGGGAATGAGTCCTCCCTTGTGTTTTGTTTTTTTTTTTTGAGACGGAGTTCACTCTTGTCGCCCAGGCTGGAGTGCGATTCTTCTGCCTCAGCCTCCTGAGTAGCTGGGATTACAAGCATGTATCACCACGCCCAGCTAATTTTATATTTTTAGTAGAGATGGGTTTTCTCCATGTTGGTCAGGCTGGTCTTGAACTCCTGACCTCATCTGATCCTCCTGCCTCGGCCTCCCAAAGTGCTGGGATTACAAGTGTGAGCCACCACACCCAGCCTATCTTTTTTTTTTTTAATATATTTTTTATATAATTAAATCAAGACAGGATCTCACCATGTTGCCTAGGCTGGTCTCGAACTCCTGGGCTCAAGCAATTTTTCCACCTCAGCTTCCCAGAGTGTTGGAATTATAGGCATGAGTCACCACACCCCTCCTTATGTTTTTATCAAATTTTCTCTACCTTTTTCTCTTGGAAAGAGAGCCCCTCGTCACCCCTCCTCCTTCCTGTGGAGGTCTGCTCTGTAAATTCAAAGCAGGTTTTTGCTGCATTTTGAGCCTGTCTGCTTTCTACAGATTTCGCCTGGCTAAAAATAGTCACATGTATAATTCCTTGAGTAAAGTCTTTAACCGTTGGGGGAGGTCTAAACCCTGGTCCGGGCAACCCTCCATCTCGCTGCTTGACAACCCTGTCTGCCTGCTAATTGGGGTGCAGAACTTGTGGAGTTCCCATCCCTGGGGCTTGGTGTTCAGCTGGGTTTAATCTCAGTGCTCCTTGGAGAGGGTCAGCATGCAGATGGGAAACAGGCGAAGTCCAAGTTCAGACAGCAGCATCTGGGAATTCACCCACTGCCTGATGCTTTATATCTGACTCTCTTCCCCAGACTTGAGGAGACAACCCAGGGTCACCTCTTCTGCCTGAATAGCTGAGAGGAGTCCTGTAATCTTAGAGCCAGCTTCCCAAGAAACCTGACCTAAGGCATACTCTCTCTTAATATTCAAATAAACTGTTGTCAAGAACTGTAAAAGGTCTGAGATTTTTATCCTACTTGTATATAAGTTAACAAGTTAGCCTGAACTGTTTTGTGGATCCTGGCAGAAGACACAAGATTCCAGGGTCAGAGACAAGGATGATGTTATTTACAATACTGTAGGCAACATGAGCTTCATTGATGGGGATGACATGGAGGGGTCCAGGTGGAGGCTGCACATTGGTGGGTTTGTGTTACAGAGGAGGGACCCGAGTTAGGGGAACTGAATTCTTTATAATGGTCAGGAAACTGACTTGACCTTTGACCTGGAGGAAGACTTTCTTTGTTATATTGGACATTAAACAAACCCACCCTTTGCTCTGAAGGGAGATACTATGGTGATCTTCCAGGGCTGTTTATACATACAAACAACCTTGAAGAGACAGTGCCTCTGTTCCCAGGATATGCAGAAAATCAAAAGACTCAGCCAGGTGCAGTGGCTCATGCCTGTAATCCCAGCAACTCAGTAGGCTGAGGCAGGAGAATCGCTTGAACCCAGGAGGTGGAGAATGCAGTGAGCCGAGATCATGCCATTGCAATACAGCATGGGTGACTGGGCAAGACTCTATCTCAAAAAAAAAAAAAAAAAAGAGACTCATAGAGAATTGTCTACCAACAACTGTCGATTTATTTTGCTTAACTGTTTTCATATATAAAATGAACAGTGTTCACAATTGTCACTAATTATTGCAGGCTTTATGTTTGCAGTGATACATTACCTTTTAACTGCCTGATAAGATATAAATCCCACAAGGCAATTTTCATTTCAAGTTCCATTCAGAATTATTACCTATGTTTAAAAGTAAATGTTCAGGGCCCGGTGCAGTGGCTCATGTCTGTAATCCCAGGACTTGTGGGAAGCCAAGCTGGGAGGATCACTTGAGCACAGGACCTTGAGGCTGCAGTGATATATGACTGTGCCACTGCACTCCAGCTTGGGTGACACAGCAAGTCTCTAAAAAATTAAAAAATAAAAAAAAACCCACAAAACAAAACAAAAACCTTAAAAGTAAATCTTCAGATATCAACAATTAACAGAGGAATAGTGGGAGAGAGATCCAAGATGGCCGATTACTAGCAGCTCAGGATTGTAGCTCCCAGTGAAAGTGCAGAGAATGAGAGGATATCACACTTTCAGACAAATTTTTGTTGCTCACGTACCAGGAGATTCCCAGCGGAGGAGCCCCATGGGTTGCCAGCAAGACTCTTATGGCTGGCGGGGTGGTTTTGCTGGTGCCTCGGCATGGTCATTCTCGGTGCAGAGTAAATAGGACTTGGTCTCCTTCTGGTTGACGTTTGGGCAGAGTCGCTCATTCAGCTGATTGAAAAAGGGACTCAAGGGGGAAGCCAGACCAGAGATTCCCGGGCAGAAAAGCATCATGAATCTTAATGCTGCTGTTTTAGCCAGCACAGTGGGTTGCTCAGATTCTGGCACTGGGAATCAACAAGTTTGACGTCCACTCAGAGACCTAATTTGAAAGTCGGTAATTACAAAGACGACAGGTGGATAATCTTACAATGATGGGAAGAAACCAGCATAAAAAGGCTGAGAATACCCAAAATCAGAATGCCTCTCCCTCTACAGAGGATCACAGTTCCTCAACAACAGGGGAACAAGGCCTGATGAAGAACGAGTGTGTTCCATTAACAGAATTAGGCTTCAGATGGTGGATAATAAGAAACTTCTGTGAGTTAAAAGAACATGTTCTAGCTCAACATAAAGAAACTAAGAACCTTGAAAAAAGGTTTGACAAAATCCTAACGAGAATAGACAATTTAGAGAGGAATATAAGTGAATTAATGGAACTGAAGAATACAATATGAGAATGCCACGAAGTATGCACAGGTTTTAACAGTCAAATTGATCAAGCAGAAGAATGGATATCAGAGGACAAAGACCAACTTAATGAAATGAAACGAGAAGACAAGATTAGAGAAGAAAGAGTAAAAGTCTCCAAGAAACATGGGACTATATGAAAAGACCTAATTTATGTTTGGTAGGTGTACCTGAATGTCATGAAGAGAATGAATCCAAGCTGGAAAATATTCTTCAGGATATTATTCAGGAAAACTTTCCTAACCTAGTAAGGCAGGACAATACTCAACTCCAGGTAATACAGAGAACACCACAAAGATATTCCTCAAGTAGAGCAACCCCAAGACACACAATCGTTAGATTCACCAGGGTTGAAATTAAGGAGAAAATTCTAAAGGCAGCTAGAGAGAAAGGTCAGGTTACCCCTAAAGGGAAGCCCATCAGACTCACAGCAGATCTCTCAGCAGAAACCCTGCAAACTAGAAGAGAGTGGGGTCAATATTCAATATCCTCAAAGAAAAGAATTTTCAACCCAGAATCTCATATCCAGCCAAACTAAGCTTCATAAATGAAGGAAAAATAAAATTTTTCACAAACAAGCCAGCACTTAGAGATTTCATCACCACCAGGCCTGCTTTACAAGAGCTTCTGAAAGAAGCACTATACACAGAAAGGAACAACCAGTATCAGTCATCCCAAAAACTTACCAAAAGGTAAAGAGTATCTCCACAATGAAGAATCTATATCAACTAATGGGCAAAATAGCCAGCTAGCATTAAATGACAATATTAAACTCACAAATATCAATATTAATACTAAATTTAAATGGATTAAATGCCCCAAAGACACAGACAGACAAATTGAATAAAAAGTCAAAACCCATCAGTACACTGTATCCAGATCCATCTCATAAGCATGGACACACAAAGACTCAAAATAAAGGATTGGAGGAAGACTCAACAATCAAACGGAGAGCAAAACAAAACAAAACAGGAGTTGTAACTTTCATCTCTGACAAAATAGACTTTAATAGTAACAAAGACTAAAAGAAACAAAGAAGGACATTACATAATGATAAAAGGATCAATGCAACAACAGGAGTCAATGATCATAAATATATATGCACCCAATATAGGATTACCCAGATACATAAGACAAGTTCTTAATGACTTATAAAGAGACTTGGACTCCCGCACAATAATAGCGGGAGACTTTGACACCACATTGTTAATATTCGATGGATTAATGAGATAGAAAATTAACAGGGACACCTATGATTTGAACTCAGACCTGGAACAAGTAACCTCAGTGAATATTTATAGAATTCTTCACTCCAGGTCCACAGAACATACATTTTTCTCAGTATCACATTACACCTGTTTTGAAAGTGACCACATAATTGGAAGTAAATCACTCTTCAGCATTTGCATAGCATTTCACAGACTTAACTAAAATATTGGTTGGCTGTTTGTTATTTTCTTCCCTTATTCCTTCCTGTCTCTGCTGTTAAGCACAATTATCGGCATAAAAGAGGTTTTTAATACCTATTTTTAGATTGCATTCTAGCCTGGGCAACAGAGCAAGACTCCCGTTCTCTCTCCCCCTTTCTCTTTCTTTCATAAAAAAAAAAAAAGACAGGAGTAGTTCCCCCACCTACTCTTCACAGTGAGGACAAATTAATGGCCTATTTTTTCTTAAAGAAGGAGAAGACAAAAAATAAGCTGGCAAATTTCAATTTTCTTTACTTTCTCCAATTGGCAGCAATGCAAAAGATTTTTTGTGAATGGCAGATGGGCCAAAGGCAAAGTCATCACATGGTTCTTTATAAAGAAGAGCAAGGATTGTTTCAAAAACGTATTATTTTCATCATTAGCCAATAATGGATTACTTTAGTAGGGAAAGTATGTGAGCATATGATCTTATCCCTAGGGCAAGCTACGGACATGTTTGGGTTTTTATTTTGTTTTGGGTTTGTTTTTGTTTCAGGTAATGGAGGTATAGGCATTATACTGCTTCTTTCTAGCTGGATGGTAAAAGTGACAGGGATGTATCTGAGTATCCCTATGTCAGTGTTGTTGCCAACTTACATCTCTGTCAAGCTATCTCTTTCATTTCTGGTACACCAACAGAGAGCAAAAAAAAAAAAAAAAAAAAAAAAACAAAACAAACAAACAATTAATAGTATGCCTAAGTTGTTTTTTTTTGAGACGGAGTTTCGCTCTTGTTACCCAGGCTGGAGTGCAATGGCGCGATCTCGGCTCACCACAACCTCTGCCTCCTGGGTTCAGGCAATTCTCCTGCCTCAGCATCCTGAGTAGCTGGGATTACAGGCACACGCCACCACGCCCAGCTAATTTTTTGTATTTTTAGTAGAGACGGGGTTTCACCATGTTGACCAGGATGGTCTCGATCTCTTTACCTCGTGATCCACCCGCTTCAGCCTCCCAAAGTGCTGGGATTACAGGCTTGAGCCACCGCGCCCGGCCAATTGTATGTCTTATATGTATTACTAATTTACAATGATTAGACACCATAGGAAACCTATATGATTACATGACCAGTTCTCACGCACTGTTTAGGAATGCCAGAAATGATAGTGACATTAGCATTTGTCTACTTGCTTTCCAAATCCCAGGCCAAGGTTGAAGTCAAATAGCAGATTTTGGCTGAATTTGAAGGCTGAAGTTTGGGATGGTTAATTTTACATGTAAACTTAACTAAGTGTCGCTTAGAAAACTGGCAAAGCATTATTTCTGTGTATGCCTGGATGGTGTTCTGGGAAAAATGGCATCTGAATCAGTAGATCGAGCAGAGATCACCTTCCTCGGTGCGAGCGAGCAGCATGCAATCTGTTGAAGTCCTGACTAGAACAAAAAGGCGAAGGAAGAGTGAAGACCACTTCCTCTGCTTGACCTGAGACACCCAACTCTTCTACCCATAGACACCAATGCACCTCGTTCCTGGGTCTTTGAACTTGGACCAGGATTAAACCAATGATTCCTGTTTCTTGAACCTTCAACCTCAGACTGGGATGTACACCACTGGCTTCTCTGGTTCTCATGCCGTCGGGCTTGAACTGGAACTACATGACCAGCTTTCCTGGGTCTCCGACTTGCAGACAGCAGATCATGAGACTTCATCTCTGTAGTCACATGAGCCAGTCCTTCGTAATAATCTCTTTCTATATATCTACAGATATCTT